TAGTAACCTAGTTGAGGTGGTTTGTTCTAGTTGGTTGTCTTTCACGCCTTTGGTTGGAAAGATTTTGTTCTTAAAGAGAAAATCAAATCCCTCTAAGTAGTTCTCAAACTCTAGAACAATATGGTGTTTGGTAATATGAACATTAGAATATAGCTTTAGAGATGTTGTGAGTAATCTAAATTTCAAGTAGATTAGGAAGTCTTTCAAAGGATGAGATTGGGGTTCAGACTAGAGTTAATGTGTAACTTTGATCTTTGCTTAAGATTAAAGATTCTCAATTGTTTTAGAGATCTTAAATTTATTGGCTTAAGGAGGGAGATGCCAACACCGAATTTTTCACGCTTATGTCAAAAGCAGAAGTATGAGGAATGTTATTTGAGTTCTTAAGATTGGTGATGAATAGATTGAAGGGGGGTATGAGCTTCACCAAGAGGTTGTTAGTTTTTTCCAATCACTTTAAAGAACTTCTTACTTATAGGTCTAAACTAGACAAAGTTGTTTTTAACTCTCTTTCACTTGAGGACAGTGATATTGGATAAAATATGGATGTAGAATGGTTTAGAAATGGATGGTTGAATAGACTTTTTACCAAAAACCAATTTCTAAAAACAAATTCAAAATCAGAGTTTTCAAAAAGTTTGGCCACTGATTTTACAAAATATGTGTTTGAATTGATTTCACAATTTATACTACAATCAAAAAAATCTAATGAAGATGAGTGATGAAGACACTAAATAAACAATGCATAAATTAATTGAATTCAACTAGATGTTTAAATTGAATTTTATTAATTGAGATAGAAATTTAAATTTGCAAGTTTTATAGTTATAATCCACATAAAGATGGACTTAATTTATCAGAGACCTACGCTTATTACACTTAATCACTATAAGCGATAAACCTAACTCCATACAAAACTAGAAAGTAGAAAAACTCTAAGATCATACAAATCTATAAAGAAATTTAGATAAAGGAACAAAGAAAAGTGCACCACACTTTATACTTGTCGAATGCAATCGTCCTTCCTAGCACCTAAGTCGGTCTCTAATGATAGATCATTATAAATTTATTAGTTTTCCACTATATGACAATTTTACTACGTGTCAGTCAATACAATTATATAATCTCAGATAATATTTAAAAACTTAAAATAACAAATAATCAGCTTCAATATGAATCTTCATCTTTTGACATATACAACTCATGAGGTTGAACTTCATAATGTTTTTACTCAATCTTAAATCAATTAACCTTTTCAAATTCAAAGATTTCTCCAAATCTGCATCCACAATAGTCTTCGCTCAACTAAAAAAAATTAAATACTTATTTTAAGAATCAAATCACTATCGCAAAAATGAAATTTTTTTTATCGATAGAAAATTAAAGGTTTAACGATTTCATTTTCTTATTTTTTGTAAATTTTCTTTATAAAAAACAATTATGGAGATATTATTGTAAATATAAACGCTTCTCTAAAAGTCTGATCTTAATTTGTCTACAATTTTATTAGGTGGTGTTATTTTGCGAGTTTTTTTCAAAAAAATATTCTTTCTTTTTTCTTTTCTTTTTTTTTCTTTTTTTTTTTCCTAATCTACCCGAGATAAATTAAATGCACTTTAAAGTTTTATTTCTTCTTCATTCCGGGTTGATGGAGTATTATTAGACTTCAAAGAGATCAAGCTAGTCAAGAAAACACCTCGAGAGGGAGTTCTTTGAGAGTTTAGTTCCATTAGGTGAGGGAAACTACTTCATTATCCATATTTTCATAAATTAGTTAGTTTCTTCCCCCTCCTAAAGCCTGTGACTAATTTAACTTTATTTCTTGTAATAAAATACTTTTAGAAACAGATTCAACCAAGAAACAAAGAAAACACACCCTTGCTTTCTCTTCTAGTTTATTAAGTGAATGTGTGCGTGGAATCCATTCATTCCTTTCTTAATTCAGTTGCTCCCTTCGAGTTGTATACCCTCATAAAGATCCTTTAACATAGAAATATGGTACCAATCTCCATTGTCATTGTATAAATTGATTCTACTAATACTCTCTTCATCTCACTGTACTACTTAACCATTACTGCAACCATTAGGAGACAACTAGCAATTGGAATTGTATTTGGTGAAATGGATTCTCTGGCGATATTTTTCGTCTGTTTGCTTTCATTATCAAGTAAGTTTGAAACATATACAGCTTTTTCTGTTACGGTATCTTATGTATTTCATTAAGCTAAATGCAAATTCTCTTAACTCTACAGGTGCAAAAGCCAGTAGCAATATTGGAGTGAACTATGGTGTGCTTGGAAACAATCTACCCTCTCCATCTCGGTCCATTGATTTACTAACAATGATGAAAGCTGGCCTTGTGAAGATCTATGACGCCAACCCGGAAATTCTACGGCTTTTATCAAGCACAAAGCTCAAAGTTTCTATTATGATCCCAAACAACAAGATCACATGCATTGCTGCTAACCAAAGCATAGCAGATGAATGGGTGAAGAACAATATCCTCCCATACTACCCGAAAACCCTAATTCGCTTCTTACTTGTAGGAAATGAAGTGTTAAGCTACAATACAGAACAGGGTCACAAAATGTGGCATGATCTTGTCCCGGCAATGCGAAGCATTAGAAGAGCACTCAAATCTCAGAACATCAGAGACATCAAAATTGGCACCCCACTGGCGATGGATATCTTACAGACAACCTTCCCGCCATCGAGTGGGACATTCCGACCTGACGTAAGAGACAGTGTGATAGTTCCAATGCTTAAGTTCTTACAAAGAACCAATTCGTTTTTCTTCATTGATGTATACCCATATTTCCCATGGTCACAGGACCCCAACAATATTAACCTAGACTACGCTCTATTCAGGGGAAATTTCATCTCAATAGACCGGGGTAGTGGCTTAATCTACAAAAACTTGTTAGACCAAATGCTTGACTCGCTTATCTTTGCCATGTCAAAACTCGGGTACTCTGATATCCAGCTGATAATATCAGAAACAGGATGGCCAAACTCCGGCGACATAGAAGAACTAGGCGCAAACATTTTCAATGCAGCCATATACAATCGTAATCTGATCAAAAGAATGACAGCAAAACCACCCATCGGAACACCAGCTAGACCAGGAGTACCAATCCCAACCTTCATATTCTCACTTTTTAACGAAAATCAAAAGCCAGGACCCGGAACAGAGCGACACTGGGGTTTGTTACACACAGACGGAACCCCAATTTATGATTTAGACTTAACAGGAAAAAAAACCATCACAGATCCTGCACCATTACCAACTGCAAAGAACAATGTGACATTCAAAGGAAAGGCCAGGTGTGTGGCAGCAGAAGGATTAAACAAATTGGAAATGGAAAGAGAAGGAAAGTGCAATTAATTCTTCAGTTTATTTAAACTAGCAATCTTGTTTTCTTGAATAGATATTTTCAACATGATATTGTTTTGAATAGTTGTGTTAATCAAAGTATTTATTGTTATGTATGATTATGAATGAACTAGAACTGTCCTGAAACTGTTAAGAACTAGTATAACAAATAAAACGTAACAAATTGATATGAATTAGGGCAAATGAATAAATTTGAACGAACAATAGTTGAACAAAAGAGAATCCATTTTATTGATAAGGCGCTATGCACAATCACATTATTACAAGATTAGATTCTCAAGAAATTAAAACCAACGGTTTGTGATTAACTACATATTGAAAATATCTACACAAACCCTAAGAGCAAGAATTCAACAAGATCAAGCACGCTCGCCTCTAATACGCCTAGCGAGCTGGATATCCTTAGGCATAATAGTGACACGCTTGGCGTGAATTGCGCAGAGGTTAGTGTCCTCAAAGAGTGCAACTAGGTACGACTCTGCTGCTTCCTGAAGTGCCGACACGGCGGAGCTCTGGAAACGAAGATCAGTCCTTAAAGCTTGAGCGATCTCACGAACAAGACGCTGGAAAGGAAGTTTGCGGATCAAAAGCTCAGTGCTCTTCTGGTACTTGCGGATCTCACGAAGTGCGACGGTTCCTGGCCTGAAACGATGTGGCCTCTTCACTCCTCCGGTGGCTGGAGCTGACTTGCGAGCGGCTTTGGTTGCCAGTGGCTTCCTTGGGGCTTTGCCGCCGGTGGACTTGCGAGCGGTTTGCTTGGTGCGCGCCATTGTGAAATAACAGAAAAACGGTTTCTAACAGATTATAACTCGAGGCTTATTTTCTGTTATGCTTTGAGAGTGATGATTTTCGAAGAAAAGAAAATGGTTAATTATATAATACTAATTTTGTGCGGGTTTTGAATTTGAGAGGGTGAATTTGTTTATGATTGTGGCCGTTGATTTTAGTTGGATAATCGACGGATGATGTTTGTTTGGAGTAGTTGAGCACGCGGATTGATGACGTGGCACGTAGAGGAGTTTGGAGCGTGAAATCGTAGTCGTTGATCTTGAGAGCTTTTTGGTGTGGGCAAACGAAAATGAAAATACAGGAAGGAAAATTCATCTTTTGGCGGGTTTAGTGTTCTTTTATTTTTGGCGGGTTTAGTGTTCTTTTATTTTGGCAGGTTAAATGAGTCTTATGAATTGAAACTCCAAATAGATAACTATACCAATATCCAACAATTATCCCCTATCTCTATTTTCAAAATATTTTAATTATATTCTTTTTAATTTATTAAATTTTTTAAATGTGGAAAACTTTGCACGGAAGAATATTACTTAAATAATTCTAATATTTAGTTATTATTTATCGAATAACTTCAAATTAATTATATTTCAATATTAATAACTTATATAAAAGTTATCTAATATTAAGTAATTTTGTTATAAATTTTTCGGTAATTATCATTTTGTTTATCGAATAACTTGATTGTACATTTTTCGATAATTTTCTTTTTGTTCACTAATTTAGTTACAAATTTTTTGATAGTTTTCTTTTATTTCAATATTTTAAAATTGAGAAATTTAAAGCTAAATTAGATATCTGAAAAGCTAGACTATTAACGATGGCGGGAAGAATTACTCTTATTAACTCGGTATTGACTAGCTTGCCTATCTTTTGGTTTTCGTTTTATAAGGCACCGGCATCGGTTTTGAAGTCCATTGATAAAATTAGAAGCAGGTTTCTTTGGGGCGGATCAGAAGAGAAATCTAAAATTCATTGGATTAAACGAGATAAAGTGTGTATGTCGAAGGAAGATGGTGGGTTAGGAGTTAAAAGAATAGAGGAATTCAATCTTGCTCTCTTGACCAAATGGAAATGGAGGATTTTTGAATATCATAAGTCTCTTTGGAAGGATACCCTTAAAGCTAGATATGGTTCCATATAGCAGCAAGTTATTTCTGACGTGCTTCCGTTGAGGATCTCGTCATCTTTTTGGTGGAAATACCTGCTAAAGAGTGGAGTTTTTACATCTAACAATGATTTTTGTTTTGCAGATTCAGTTCAATTTGAATTAGGAGCTGGAAACACATTTTCGTTTTGGTCGGTAAAGTGGCTTAAAGTTTGCTCCTTGTCTGGAATGTTCTAGGATCTGTTTATTTGCAGTAACAACAAATCTGGTTATGTTGAGTCAATGGGTTATTGGGAGCATGACAGTTGGATTTTGGGTGATTTCAGATTATATTTGTAGGACCAATTGGATAAGGTTGATAGGGTCAATGAGCTTCGGTGTTGTTAGCCTTGAATTTCGACGCTCAGGTGGAGATGTTAGGTTTTTGAGTTAAGGCAGTGTTTTCGACTATGGTTATGTTGTGAGGGTTTCGACCAGAAAACGAACGATTCGATAGACAAGAACTTTTGAAGTTTGAATTCGAATTCTAGAGGGAAATGTAGTTATTTTCCGCCATTAGAAGGAGGCATGTGACACCGTTTCAAGTAATCAAAGCATGCAGAGTGACATTTTTTTTAATCTAGTCCATTGAGTCATTAGGAGCGGTTATTTCGACTGGTTATAAATAGTGGCTCAATTTATGATTTATGTGCGTGTTCATTTTGTACAAGTTACTCAGAAAATTACTCAAAGTATCCAAGTCAAAGTGAGAAAAGAGTTATAATTAAGAATGTACGTGTCGAAACACCATCTTTTATTCTAATGCATTAAAGTTTTCTTTCCGTTTACAAGATTCTTTCTTTACTTTACTGCTTTTATACGAGTTATATTTTCTGGTTTTTACCCTTTGCTTAGAATTGTTATCTTCTTTGCCTCAAACTGTTTTCTTAGTTCTACTTGCTTTATTTCCAAAACCTTTTTTATTGTTTTCAATATTGTCGAAGTATTTATCCTTCTCTTTTAGATGTTATTTGATTTTAAACTCAGATTAGCTATGTCCTAGGATTTAGTGTGGTCGATCCTGCAAGTTAAAACAAGTCTTTAAGATTTATTAGACCAGCGGTTGTTCTCCAAATTTCACGCCGAACAAATTGGCACGCCCAGTGGGACGGTGCTAATCAGAGGTTCTTGTTAAAAAGAAAAAAAAAAGTTTTCATTATATGCAGTTAAGAAGTGGTAAGATAATCACTAATAACGAAACTTGAACTAAGAAAGGATATACTAGGAGAATGGCATCAAATACAAATCAGTCAAATACTCCTCAGGATTCATACAATGGTAATGATAACACGGAGCTTCCCGTGCCACCTTTGATAGAAGGGCAAGCGGGTTCTTTTTCTTTCTCTGAAGCGGTTCCGACTATGGAGACTTCGATGCCTACGCATTTGATTACTATACGCAACCAATTTTGACCTACATTGGGCCAAGGGGCCCTCCATATACCCCACCTCCAGTTAGAACTTCCACGTATAAAAATATTCCCCCATCAGGGTTTTCGATGCCTTTTCCGCGAGACCCAACATATGATATGCCAACATCAGTAATGGAAAGCCTCCATAACACCCCTCATGTACACGCAGAACAGGTGATAACTTCGCCATTACAGGGGTCAGCATCTGGAATGAATGTGGGTCGAAACAACCAAAACGTAGGATACTTTGTCCCAACACAGAACTTAACAATTGGTTTTGCCTCTTATTTGAGGCAACAAATGGATGAAAGTAACCAACTGATGATACAAATGATGCCTCAAACTATAGGAGAAATATTCCAGCCCCGTATTCAAAACACTACCCAAACTAACCAACAACTAGCAGCGCAAATGACGCGTTTAGTTGATTTTTTTGGGATACCAAATCCTCCTCGACACCTACAAAGGTAACATGTGAGAGAAAACCAGGGATTAGCCTTCGAAGAGGGCCTCACTATTAACCAAGCCCAACAACACCCAGGGAACGTACCCCAAGAAAATAATTTAATCATGGGATAGTCGAACCTCCTAGAAATCAGGTCCAAGTTCCCATAGAGGAACCTCCAAGGGTAGTGATGGTTAACAAAAACCAAAATGCGGATAATATCGTACAACAAGTTCGGCATAATAATGCAGCCACAGATAACAACTTGGCTGCCATGGTCAAAAGGATAATGGTACGAAATGGAGTAAATCTTGGCTTGTGAATGCCAAACTATATGTCGCCTTTGGTTGAATATATACTCCAGTCAGAGTTACCTCCGAGGACTAAGGTCCCCAAATTCACTAAGTTCTCAAAAGACAGTATTGAGTCTACTGTCGAACACGTGGCCAGATATCTAATTGAGACAGGCGAAATTGCTAATGATGAGAGTCTTAAGGTAAAATATTTCCCCAGTTCTTTGACCAGAAACACTTTCACTTGGTTCACCACATTACCTCCCAACTCGATCCATGACTGGACCCAGTTAGAGCGTCTATTCCATGAACAATTTTACATGGGACAAACGAAAATAAGTTTAAAAGAATTGGCTAGTATAAAACGAAAGTTTACTGAGCCTATCGAGGAATATTTGAACCGGTTTCGACTTCTCAAAGCCAGGTGCTTTACACAAGTGCCAGAACATGAGTTGGTCGAAATGGCCACTGGTGGCCTTGACTATTCAATTTAAAAGAAGTTGGATACCCAATATTTAAGGGATATGGCTCAATTAGCCAATAGAGTTCAACAATTAGAACGTTTAAAAGAAGAAAAGGTTAGGGCTAATAAAAATAAGAGGGTGGCCTATGTCGATTTTAACAAAGAAGATGAAAGGCCACATGTTGATTACCTAGGTTTCGATGAGAATGAAATTGATCTTGCTGAACTAAAAAAGGGCTCTCCTTACTCTTGTAGGATGCTAATGCCCTCGAATGGGAAATACACTGTCGAAACTAACGATAGGTTTCCTAGAAAACATACACTTTCGACGTCACAAAATGTGATGAAATATTTGATTTGTTAGTTATGGATGGGAAAATGATTGTACCTGTTGGTGCTAAAATGCCTCCTCTAGGACAATGAAAGAAAATAGGCTTCTGTAAGTACCATAATTTTTTGGGTCATAAAACCTCACAATATTTTCTTTTCAAGGATCTAGTGCAGAATGCAATTCAGGAAGGAAGACTGAAGTTTGGTGAGAGTTCTAAGGGTCAGATGAACCTAGATGTCGAAAGAGTGAAAGCGCCTGATACTCACTATACAGAGCCGGAAGAAGTTCACATGGTCGAAGTCACTGAGGACTTCGTCAATGGTGTTGTAATGGTTCGCGTTACTAATAACTTGAACTAGGAGTTGGTGGATAACTTGGAAATTGAGGTTACTGAGAGCCTCGACAGGGAGATCACTGAGGATTTTGAAATGGGAGTTATGGAAGACTCCAGAGTGATGTTGGTAACAAAAGAAATTTCTAAGGTTTTTTTAAGAATGGACAAGGTTGCTGAGGGCCTTCAATTAGCTTTTCAAAATTTAGACATCACTGAGGATGTCAACATGGGGGTGAATATGGTAGAAATCACGCAGGAGTCTCCAATTAAAGTTGAGGAGGAACACCACAAGTTGGCTTTCCTGAAAGGGGATGAAAGCCTACTGGATTTCATTCATAGGTGTCAGAGGAAAAGTTCAGAAGTTATGTTGTGCCCTAGGTGTAGTGCAGTATTCGACAGGAAAGTTACACAAAGTATAGAAAAGGCTAAGTGCAACCATGAGAACAAGGCATCCCAAGGGGGGAGAAGGTTCGACCCAAGGAGGAGCAACGACTCCAGGAAAGGATTCTCCAGGGTCGACGGAAACAAACAAAGAGGCCCTGGGGTAAAGGGGCCTGGACTAGGCCCGTCAAGGCTAAACAACAAGGACAATAAAGGTGGCAACACTTTGATGTCGAAAGATGATCCTCTATAGCCTACAAAAAAGAATTCCCACATACCAACAAAATGGCTTATGTGTCTGAGAACTACAAAGGAAAGAACCTTATGACTCACTCCCAGTGGATGAGAGAGCAAAGAAGGCGAAAGGCCCAGAGAGAGGCTACGAATAAGGGGGAGTCTAGCATAAACTTATTCTCAACAAAAGAAAGAGAGGATGGGTTTAAGGTTGCTGACAAAGTGTCGGCGGCTGCTAGAATGTTCATCCCTAAAAATGATGAGAAGAAAAATAAACCCAACAGAGAAGTCGAGGAAGATGAGATGCTTATTGATAGCTTTGACTCAGAATCAGAGGCATCACTCAATATCTTGGTGAATGTTGTGTCAGTTCTACCGCCTGAATTCGACAAGATTACGGAAGTCGAAAACCTGGACGCATACACTGAAATGGAAATGCTTGCCCACAAGCCAGTCTGTTACTATATCATGAATAATGGATGTGTCGAAGAGCATAACGCTTTCTTTGAGAGTCCCAATGAGGCAATGAGAAGCCATTTAAAGCCTTTGTTTATCACAACAAAGGTTGAGAATATGGCCGTGAATAAGGTCTTAGTGGATTGTAGAGCCACTGTGAACTTGATGCCACACTATATGTTAGAGAGGATTGGGAAGTCAGACGTTGATACCAAGCCTCACAACATGGTCTTGTCAAATTATGAAGGTAAAGTTGGGACTACCATGGGGGTAAATCCAATTTGATCTTACTGTGGGAACTGTGACAAGGCCAACTGTCTTTAGACCAACTGTCTTCATGGTCATCGAGACCAAAGCAAATTACAATTTGCTGTTGGGAAGAGAATGGATCCACGGTGTTGGAGCTGTCCCATCTTCGATGCATCAAAGGATCATTATCTAGCATCCCAAAGGCATAATAGAGAATATTGAAGCTGATCAGGGGTACTTTAAAGCACCTATTAATCACCTCTATCGAAGGAGCTTCGACAAACACTTGGTGAATATAGCGCCATGTACTCTGGCGGGTTTCGATTTCACCCAAAATATTAACGCTTATTGCTCATTATATTTACATCTTGTCCATGGTTTCAGATGAGATAGGGAGATT